CCTAACTGTGCTAAAGTAGTGTTATTTTTTTGTCATGGTAGTTATTTTATACCGGCGAAAACGTTTCAAGATCCTTTACGAAATGAACAGCAGCAATCGGCTACTGCAAAGCTAATAGCTGCACAAAGGATCCGTACTGATTATTGTATATCTGCTTTGTGAGTTTGACCTTAGAAATCAAACTGTTGTGAGTTCTACTTTTTAACCGCTTGAAGCGATTTGCTCTCGTGAAAAATCAAAGCGGGTGCTACATGGAAAAGTTCTCCATAATCTTTGGAGAAATGGTTTTCGTTTAGTTTAGAGGTAACACTATATCTATATTCTTCTTTGAAACAAAGAACAAAGATAAATGAATCATTTATTTTTAGAAAATAAGTATAAGTAAATCATTTCTTTTGAAGAAATAAAGATGAAAGAAAAAAATGAGGGACTCTTTTATGAGAAATAATCCAATGAAGAGAATTTTTAAGACCAAAGAAATCAAGCGGTTATTATTGTACTCTAGTTGATCTTGTACTTTCTCACGACTTAATTTTCTACACTTATATGTCAAATTACCACTACTTGCAGGTAAGAGCACGATAAACATGTAGAACATTCCTTTTATTTTTATGAACTTTTTTTAATTCTAGTCATAACTGATGGAAAACCCTACTCTAATAAGATGTTGAAATATTCTTGAGATTATACGATACTATAGTATTTTGCTTCTGTGAAACTCTTGTACTTGATTCACACAATGAATGAGATTTACTAAACATGATTCGTAATTAATGACAGAAAACTATTTGTTGCTTTTAGAAGTCGTCTACAAATACTAATTGAATAACAACTAGAATTACAAAATGATCAATATCCTGTCAATTTGGCCTTGGGTTAGACTAATCATAGTCAACGTTTTCATTCTTGGCTGTATTCGATGCGATATTAATTGGAATGAAAATAATTCGGCCTTAGCATGTGATTTTCTTGGTAATGATTTGTCTAATGTTCGTATTGAATCAGAACTTTGTCGTGGACAATGTGCTCAAACTTCAGGATGTACTCACTATACATGGACTATATATAGTGATGGCACTTGTTGGATGAAATCTGGTCCCGTTTCCAAAAGTGATGCAATCTATACCAATGATACAAGTATGGTCTGTGGTATAATGGATAATGCTCCAGAAAGTGGCATCCAGTGGAACGCAAATAATTCGGCCTCAGCATGTTATTTTCGTGGGAATGATATGTCTAATGTTCTTATTGCATCAGACCTTTGTGCTGGACAATGTGCTCAAACTTCAGGATGTACTCACTTTGTATGGTCTACATATATGGGTGGTACTTGTTGGATGAAATCTGGTGTGGTTTCCAAAAGTGATGCCATCCATACTGGTGATACAAATATGGTCTGTGGTCTAGTAATTGCCTCTTCAACAGGTGCAGTTGCTGAAACTACCACTCCATCCGGAAATTGCTGCAAGCCTGGGTGTGGTGTGGGTGTGGTGTGGGTGTGGATGTGTGTGGTATGGGTATTGGTGTGATGTGTGGGTGTATTATTTTTATTAAAATTTTTAGAGAAGTAGCTGTTTTCTCTATTTATCAGAGGAAACTTTTTCTTCTTCTTTTCGACCAATGCCTCTCGATATTAATATGAAGAACAAAAAAGGAAAATTTTTTTATTTGTTTTTGTAAATTTTATTGTTGACTAGTTTTCGCGAACTTTAAGAAGATGTCTCTTCAGGATTTGCAAAACCATACAGGTAACGTTCATCAACATCGAATATTAATTTACTGAGTCCTAGACTGACGAAATGATGAGAAAGATATCCTTATATTTCGCATAAAAATGAATTCTGTACAATGATCACTATAATAGCAATTATTCATAATTTTAACATGTTCTATATTGCATACTATAGATACATTCAAACAGTTGACATAAAATATTGAAAGATGCTTATATATATGATAAAGATTATGCTTTACTTGATTATAACAAATAAAAACGATGATTTATCCCATAGAAATGGCTATTTCTACCATTTACTTGGCCAATTGTGACACAGACGTGCTCATTTGAGCCATAAGAATGGCCAATTGTGCCATGGTAATCGTTGATTGTGCCGTGCAAAAGGTGAATTGAGCCACTAAAACAGTCATTTGTATAATGAACATGCACAATTGTGCCGCCGAAATGGTAATCTGCGTCAAAAAAAGGGTCAGTTGTGCCACAGAAGTGGTCATTCATGCCACAAAATTGATCATTTGTGCCAAAAATGGCCATTTGCACCATGAGAATGTTCATTCGTGTCACAGAAACGGCCATTTATGCCACCTAAATGCTCAATTGTGCCAAAAAACTGGTCAATTAGGCCATCGAAGTGGTATTTTGTGCCATGAAAATGGCCAATTGAGTCATAAAAGCGGTCATTTGTGCCATAAAAACGATCACCGATGCCATAAACATGGTCATTTATGCCTTACAAGTGGTCATCTATACCATAAAAATGATCATTTCGGCCATGCAAAGGGTCATTTGTGCTAAGTCTTACTTACACATAGACAGAGGTGAAATACGATTACGAAAGCCTAGCCTTTCACTATACGGCAATAAAAAAATGCATATAAATACATCTTGATGCACAAATAAAAGAAAAGAAAAGAAAAGGAACTAGGGATGCACCAAATTCAACTCCAAATCCAATTCTTTGTTTGGATTTGACTAGATTTTCATTTGGGTTTGACTGCATTTGGATTTGGTGCATGCCTGAAAGGAACCATTGAGGCCCGAAGGACCACTTCAGAGGTTCAGAAAAAAACAACAAAATTCTACCAATAAAGAAAACCAGAAAACCTTTCTGAGCCCCAAAAGGCCTCAAACAATCGAAAAGCCATCCTGAGTCGTAACGGGACTTCAACTTGGAAAGAATCTTCCTCGGGGCTTGTAAGCTATCCAGAGGAGAAAAGCCTCAATCTCCTATTTCATC